GGTCTTGATTACTTTCACTTGTTATCAGCACTTCAGATTCTTTTGGTAGAAGATTAGTTGTGAAGCACTGAACTTGTGCTAGGTGAAAGCAAAGACTAGGTGACAGCTTGGTTCTAAATCTTAAAAGTTAAAGTTAATACCAAGTATGTTTACAGAGTAAATTGGAATATTGATATGATTATGTTAACAGCAACATTATTTTGCCTAAAATAGTTATTAAAGCAAAAGCATTGTTCCGGGCTGGATTCTTCTGATAATTCTGCTGTTGGCAAGAAGTTACAGAAAACCAACTTAAATGGGCTTAGACAATGAGAGCATTCACTGGCTACTGTGTCTGGAATTCTAGTCACAGTAGGGTTCTGGGTTGGCCAGACCAGGCTATCAACAATTTCATCTAGTCTTTTACCTCTCTCTCTACTTTGCTGACAGGACAACTTCATTCTAAGACTGATTTCTTCCTGGGTGACTGCCAAGATCTGTTTGGGCTCATTTCTATATTCATTCCCTGAGGGAAGGAAGAAAAGATTCCTACAGGAGTCTCTGACTTAACTGCATCAAAGGACATTCACAAATTCCTTTTTCCATTGACCCAAATGTGTTCACATGCCCTGTTTCCATTGGCCTACATTGAGTCACATGCCTGTTCTCCATTGGTTTAAATTGGCCACATGCCTAGTCAGGGTAAGCCTTCCCTGAGATAATCAGACTTTAGCCCACAAGTGAAGCAGAGTCAGCTCTCCTGAGAACATGAATTGCTCATGTGGGTACATATGTGGTTGTGTGTGTGTATGTGTGTGTGTATGTGAGTGTGTGTGTGCACATGCTAGCTCACATGTGGTGCGTATGCTGGAGGTTATATTGGACAAAACAAAGGGGAATAATACTGTCTCCATAATTAAGTGCACTAATGATCTAATTTAAATCAACTACTTTAATAGTGAGCTTTTTCCTTGTTACAAATGTAATATAGATAGTTTTATTTTTAATTAATATAGTTTTATTTTTAATTTTGAGACACAATTCACAGCCACAAAGAAAAATAAAAACTACTAATAACCCCACTTCCTTATAAGAACCATGTACAAAATTCTAAAATGTACTTTGAATCACACATACACCATATTTACATATTGCAGGCGTGGTATAACATAATGTTTTAAAAATGCAGACTTTGGTGTCCGCCTCCTGGCTCCCGAGCTCCCGCGTATCTTCCGTAGCCAGCTCCTTAGCTGTCCCGGGCCTCAGCTGCTTTCTAGTGGGTAAATCATAACCACCAATCATAGAACTTCCTCTGGTTTCAGCGCTCCAGTCCAGGGTTCAGCAAACTACTGGCTGCAGACTCAGCTTACTGCTTATTTTTATAAAGAAAGTTTTATCTGAATTCGTTTTCATATTACCCATGGCTACATTCTAACTAAAAAATGGCAACCTCAAGTAGGTCTGACAGAGAACCTAGAGCCCACAAAACCTAAAATACTACCTGGCATTTTGCAGAAAAGTGTGCAGTTGTCTTGTGTCCATCTGATATTATAATTTTGTGCTCCAGTGGTGACCGAAGTTCTGATCAGGAGAAAGCGGACATCTACCGGCCTAGCCTGAGGTGGGAGCTGCTCACTTGTTGTGTGACTTAGAAGCTGTTGCAGACCATGAATAATTTAAAAATCCTCAAAGGTATTTAAATGCCAGGGTATCTACAAGATCCATGTTGTGCCATTTCCCTGAAGTCTGGGCTGTTGACATTATGTCTAAATGAAAGCTTCTTTGTTCAGTCGTTAGTTGGCCAAGGCTGTGTTCCTCCTAGTGATCCGCCTGTTTACAGCCTCTCAAGAGCTGGGATTACAGGCACGAGCCACCACACCCAGTCTAAAAGTACATTTTAGAATTTCGTACACGGTTCTCATAAAGAAATGGGATAATTATTAGTTTGTACTTTTCTTTCTGGCTGTGAATTGTGTCTTAAAATTAAAAATAAAATCTATATTACATTTGTAGCAAGAAGAAAGCTCACTATTAAAGTAGTTGGCTTAAATTAGATAATTAGTGCACTTAATTATGGAGACAGTATTATTCCCCTTTGTTTTGTCCAATATAGCTTCCAGCACACTCACCACACATGAGCTAGCATGTGCGCACGCACACACCTATGTGCTCACATGAACAATTATGAATCTGATCTGCACAGTGAGACCCTGTGCACCCTGTCCTAAATACCAAAAAAAAGTACTTTTAATCACACATATACCATATTTACACATTGCAGACATAATATAACATAATGTTTTAAAAATGCAGACTTTGGTGTTCGCATTGTGTTAGCTAAAATCCTGGTCAGCTTGGAATATAGTGTTGTTACGGTTGAATGGGGCAATAAATAACCCAGATTCTTGTGTACACAAGGAAACAATAGCCAAGCGCACCCAGCCTTAGGTAGTAAGTAGCACCCAGTTGTGAGTGGTAAGTAGTTGTGTTTACTGAAGATCACAGGATAGGTACCAGCAGCAACAGGAAAAGGGACAAGAGGGATGCCTAACTATAGCTCAGGCTTTTAGAATTTAAACGGGAGATGCTGCTGGCTTTAGGTGCCTCCCACTGAGTCTCCCTGGGTGCCAGTGTCCTGGCCCCTGGGACATGAAGATCGCTTACGCTTTTGTTATTTCATTTTGTCCCTCTCTTAGGATAATGGAAGCAGGAATAACCTGTGAGTGCTACTTAGGGTAGGACAGAGTGGGAAGTACTAAATGTAATTTTAATCACACATATGCTATATTTACATATTGCAGATGTAGTATAGCATAATGACATAATAAGACAATATTATTCTGCTTTGTTTTGTCCAATATAACCTCCAGCACACCCACCACGTGAGTTAGCATGTGCCCCTGTGCACACACACACACACAAACACCACACACGTATGTGTAGGCACAAATAATTCATGTTCTCTGCTCCTTTGTTTCTGACTGAACTAGTGTCAAAAAAAAGAAAGGTATTTCTCTCTCTCTCTCTCTCTCTCTCTCTCTCTCTCTCTCTCTCTCTGCCCTAGAGGTGAACAGCCCAGCTCTGCCCGGCCATTCTCCATGAGGCCCTCCAGCACCAGGGTTTACGTATTCCGTTTCTTCACCATCACCTGTGATAGGTTATCTAGCTGAAGCTCACCATCATCTTCTGTCATTCCATGAGAAGGGGGAGGCAGAAAGGGAAGGAAGGGCAAGCGCTGCAGCCCTGCAGCCAACTGAGATTCTGTTATCAAGAGAAAAGGCAAGAATGGGGTGGTCAAGTCTACTAGCAATCTTCCATGAATATCATCACGAAAACTATTGTTGTTGTGTTGATTTTGACTCATAATTATTTTATATACTAGTAAGTGAAAAAAATGTTGTCATTTCTTGTTTGATCTGTCATTTGGAAAGCAAATCTCAATGGGAACATTTTAAAACTTGGCAGGAGGAACAGGAGTGTGTGACTTGCTGGAGAAGAAGTGTACTGTTAGGCAGATTTAGAGGGAGAAGACATTCGTTTTGCAGTCTTCTATGTGTGTGTATGTGGAGCTTTTCCTAGAGCGAATGTGAGCCAGCAAGCTTCAGTGGACCCGCTAAATTAAATGTTCAGAAGAAGTGACTGACAAGGTAGTCTCAATGTGAGTCTACTCTACATCAAATTCTGTGACCACTGTTTCAAAGGCTCGGGGGAAACATTTCTAGATTTCCACTTCTTCTAAGTCAGATCTGGAGTTGAGTAAATGAATAGAAGAGGTTCTGTCTTTAGTAGCAGTGTTCCAGGTTAATAGAAGGGCAGAAACCGAGGGCAACAACTGAAGGACTAGATATGGCACAGGGCTTCTTGTTTTGACATTCCACCATTACGCAAAAGTTGTAGAACTCTAGGTACTTTCCTTGGTGCCACTATATAGTCTCGGCCTTTCAAGATCCCCAGAGCTCCTAGAGAAAGATCAACAAATAAATCATAGAAAGTATTTTAGAGGAGCCATGACAGAGGTCTGGGATGCAGGGGCCGGTTCCAGTAAAGGTTAGGAAAAGCCTCTCAAGGCAAGTGAGGAGGTTAAAGGCCCTCCCTGCAAAAGTACAGATGGTGCAAGCAGGTGGAAGTGTAGAGCAGTGGTCACCGCAGGGATTGCACTTGAGGCCTTCGGCCCTGGACTAGGAGCACCATCGGAGTAGAGGTTAGCGTTCCTCTCTGTCCGCTTTGCAGTGCCCTGTACACAGCAGGCAGACAATGTTTATTAAATTCAACTGAAGGAAACACAAACTTTGTAGGCAGAGATGGCCGACGGAAGCTGCATTTTTCTGAATTCAAAAGATGCCAGATTCCAATAATTGGACTAAAGCAAAATGGTATCTTTGGTACTTGCTTTTGCATTTATTATTTAATCAGTCAAAGTAATATTTGAGGATGTAATATATAAAGAAATACTTGATTGGATCTTGTTTACCCATTTTCATTATTATTTTCCCTCCCAACTTAATAAATGCACATGTTTTACTTTAGAAACTACCTTCTTCTTGGCCCCGCCCCCGGGGTGCGCTGAGATGGCGATTGAGATTGGGCATGGTGGCGCGTGCCTGTAATCCCAGTTCCTGGGAGGCTGTAAACAGGTGGATCACTACGAGTCTGATCTAGTAGTGAGACCCTGAAAACCCTGTAGACCCTTCCCTAAAAAAAAAAATAAAAAATGAAGAAAAAGGAAAAAAGAACCTACTTTCTTCTTGGTTCATGCAGAGCAGTTTGAAATTAACGACTAAAATTATCCTAAGAACAGATTCTTAATTAAGTACCTACAATTTATGTAAATTTGGCCTGTTCAAAATGCCACAAAATAAGCGCTCTCATTTTCAAGTTTTAAGGTGCAGTTAGGAAAGCCCCCCCCCATCCATTTAGTAAGATCCTCCTATCCTATAACTTTGACCAAGGTCATAACAAATCTATGTCCCGTGGATGTTTCTTGTTCTGTATCGCTACTGAAACCTGCTTTTCTTATACAGATTGCTGTTACAGATGAGGAAGTCAGTAATCCATCCATTTTAGATCTGGTGAGGACTCCCCAGATGAGGAAGTGCACACTAATACTTATGTTCGCTTGGTAAGTCGGCCTTTGATGGATTTAGAAGCTTGGACAGCCTAACACTTCCTTCCAGGCCGGTGGAGTGACCTTGCATTTCTTCTCTGGCGTCTGCCAATGTCGCTGCAGGTTCACGAGTGCGGTGGTGTACCAAGGTCTCGTCATGCGCCTGGGAATCACAGGTGGCAACCTCTACATAGACTTTTTGATCTCGGGAGTCATGGAGCTGCCAGCGGCCCTGCTGATCCTGTTGACCATCGAGCCCATCGGACGCCGCCTCCCCTTCGCAGCGGGCAACATTGTGGCGGGGGTTGCGTGCCTCGTCACTGCATTCTTACCAGAAGGTAATTTTCCCTCACACTGATTTGGCAACTGCTGAAAACCTTGAAAATACTTACCGGAATAATTATACATAAAGAGTAACTTTTTTTCAGGAGCTGTACCATCACGTTGTAGTCTTGGTACCAGGTAAGCGTCAGCAGTGTCACTCGGTTTTTTGCTTAATCAGTGAAAAGACTTTAAGGATATAAACTACTACCTTGTAGATGTTTCTGTTTCCTTAATTTTATATTCATTCATTGATTAAATAGATACCTTGCTAACTCTGGCTCACAGTGATTTGCCTTTGATCATCTTTTTTGGATTTCTTTTGTGTTGTGGCTGACCTTATTTAACACATCTCCTGAACATCTGCCCCACCCCTGGAACCACACTGAACTCTAAGGTTAGGAACAAAAAAGAGTGAAGTTCTTAGTTTCAGAGAGTCATGACAATTCAGGGATGTAAACATTTTAACACTCTCACAGTTATTTGTGACAAGTGAATTAATAGAACTATCAGGCTGGCAAGATAGCTCAGCAGACAGAAGCGCCTGCTTAGGTAAGCTTAGGCAAGTGCAGGGACCACAATTCAATTGCCAGCACCACATGCTGCACCAGCCCAGCCCCCAGGGTGGGCTGAACCAACCAGAGTCCGACTGTAGTGACTCATGCCTATAATCCCGGCGCTGGGGAGGCTGAAAACAGGAGATCACCACAAGTCTGAGCTGTGTAGTGAGACCTTGCAGCAACCAAATACATTAAAACTTTTTTAAAAAGAACTATTTATAAGATTTGGATACAGGAAAAAAAAAGATCCAAGGAAGGGATAGAGGAGGAATAAAGGAAGGAGGGCAGGGAGACAGACTGGGTCAAGTGGCTCAGTGATAGAACACTTTCCCTAGTGTGCATGAGGTCCTGGCCCAGCACCATTAAAAAAAAAAAGGAAAGAAAAATAGGTAGGAAAAGTATTTAATGCTTGGGAGCTCAGAAAAGCTCCCCAGAAGTGAACGAGGCAGGCATGGAGAAGGCATGTATCAGATAGGAGGTAGGAGAAGCACAGTTCTTCCAATGTAGAGAACAAAGGGGTTGGCGGGATAGCTCAGCTGGCTAAAGCACCTGCTTAGGCAAGCTTAGGCAAGCTCAGGGACTGCGGTTCGATCCCCGGCATCACATGGGTGGGCTGAGTCAGCCACAGGATTAAAGAAAAAAAAAAAAAGTAGAGAACAGATCCCAGAAACCTTTGTGGGTTCAGGAGCAAATGACCTTTTCATTACAGCTAGAATCCAGGCCTGAGGGTGGTCAGTCACCAATAAGACTGTCCTTGCTGGCCATGCCAGGGGCAATGAGGAGAAGTGATCCTGTCATTACTGACCTAGATTGGACGGTGGGTGTGAGGATGGCAAGATGCTGAAGGCTGGAAGCAAGGCTGGGAAGTCAGGAGGGGTGGGAGGGCTGAGCTCTTTTCAGGAATGGGGTGGCCATGCTTCCAGAGCCGGGTAGCCAGAGGGTAGGGCGTGGGATAAGGAGGAAACCAGGGGCTGCAGGGGCCTGCGGAAGTGTGATTGACTCAACTCGATCATCTCTGCGAGCTCGGGCGTGTATCATATCCACTTTCAGAGGTGTGTGTCAGGGACTAGGCAGAGAGCTACGTTCTCTGGCGGCCGTGCGTTTCTACATAAGAGGTTCTCTTTGAGAATCTTCTGAGAAAGACATTGGCATGGGCCAAAGGGATAGCTCTTTGGTCTAAAGCGCCTGCTTAGGCAAGCTTAGGCAGGCGCAGGGGACCGTGGTTCGATCCCTGGCACCACAAGCCACGCCAGCCCCACCCTCAGGGTGGGCTGAGTGGGCCAAAAAAGAAAAAAGAAAAAGGCATTGACGATTCTGCGGAGGTTGGACCTATCAGGTATTTATTTAGAAATGACTCTATTAATTAAATGTAGATTTATGAATTCCCAAGATATCATCTAGGCCATGAGTGAAATTACAGAGATGTTCATCTTCAGGACACAAAAGGAGGTACAAGTTTTCTGTCATAACGAGATAATTGCTGATAAACAGAAACCTAAGTTCATCTTATTTCCTTGACTACATCAGCTTCCTAGGGCGGCTGTAATAAGCCCCCACAAGGTGGATGGCGTGAAACAACAGAGGTTTATTCTGCCTCACTTCTGGAGGCTTCAGGTCTGAACTCATGTTGCAAGGGTTGGTTTTCCCAGAGACACCAGCAGGAGGAGCTGGTCTGTGCTTCTCACCTGGTGGTTGCTAGCGACACTTTGCCATTTGTTGGCATCTCTGCAGTCTCTGGCTCTGTGTTCTGGTGACAGTCTCCTCTCTGTGTCATTTTAACTCATTCTATCTATAAAGATCCTGTTTCCAAAACTGATGATATTTGGAGGTTCGGGTACCCACGATGGAGAGGGGTGCTGCTCAGCCCACTACTTTGAGTAAACACATTCTGACAGTTGGGGTGAGCCCTTGAAGCATGCATTTAAAATAGAAATGAAAAGGGCCGGCCAAATAGCTCAGCAGATTAAAGCACCTGCAAGCAGGCACAGGGGCCGGGGCTTGGATTCCCAGGCCTACTTTGCCAGCCACGCCCATGGGCTGAAATGGCAATTGAGACTGGGCGTGGTGGCACGCACCTGTAATCCCAGCTCTTGGGAGGCTGTAAACAGGTGGATCACTAGGAATCCGATCTAGTAGTGAGACCCTGAACACCCTATAGCCCCTTCCCTAAAATACAAAAAATTAAAATTAAAAATTAAATAAGTTAAATACAATAAAATAAAAAATAAAATAAAATAGAAATTAAAAAAGTAGAAATGAATCAAATCTATTGGAGAGTTCAGCGCTCTTTCTGTTTTCTTTTGGTTTGGGGATTAACTTTAAGGAAAGCAGTTGCCTCAGATTAGGCCTTCTAGTCTCATCACACAGGAGGAGTGAAGCATTCACTGCATGTGAAATTAAAACTACAGGGAGAAAGATACTTATTCGTGTGGTCTGTCATTCCCCAGGGAAGCACTGCATCTTAGATCTCTGGCTTAGTCTTAGACTGTCTGGGATGAGTTCCCTGTTTTCAGCACAGCACCACAAAAGCAAGCCTTCAAGCCTGGGCAGCCAAGCCGCCTTCCAAGTAACCGGCTGGAACAAGAACCAAAGTTCTTTCATAGAGAACACACTTCAGAAAAATATAAGGCAAAGAATGTACCTCTCTGTTCGATCCAATCAGTTTTATAACTGTAAAGTCACACCTCGTGCTTTAGAATTGTTCTCAGCAGAGTAAAAAGTACTTGCTCCTGCTCGGACCACGTTTTATTTGTATGTTCTACAGACGTAACTGTTTCTGTAGTCCCATGTTGATCAGGAATGACTGGCATGAGTAAATTTACAATCCCTACAGGGAGTTCCAGGTAGAAACAAAGGCTTTTCCTTTGCTTGCACTGAAAGGACTCTTGGTCCTGACTCCAGGGTCTGCTGCGTGAATAATAAGAGGCTTCCCCTCTCAGCCTTGCTGTGTTGGGATGTCAGGATGTCAGAATGTTGGGATGTCAGTGGGCCCACAGCCCCTGCTGTGAACACCGGGGAGCTTTCACAGAAGTGTGTTGTACAATTATCTTACAGAAAACCTTTGAGCCAACTCTCCCTCCACTGCACCCAACTTTCCACGGCCTGAGAAGAAAATTCTGGAAAGAGACATGGTCTTTCCAGCTGTATCCTCAAATAAGACTCACTGTTTTGGACCCAAATTTCTGAACACTAATTACAGTATAGAAAATGGAGAGATTTGGTGGTACCTATCTTCTGTCTTTGAATCTGTTTAGAGCAACCGCAACCTAATAGTTTGGGCAAATCTTCTTTTTGAAATGAAAATGATGCCTGTTATTTTTGTTGTTCTTTAAGTGACAAATAAGTTTATGTATCCTAATATATATAACCCCATTAGGATTGTTCACTATATTTTATTTCAGAACTTAGAGTAGATGGTACATTCAGAAGAGTTTCAAAATTATATTTTAAATCCTGCATCCTTTCCTGAAGAAATGAGGTATTACTCTTAATCATCTCTTGTAGTGGGGTTTTTTGTTTGTTTGTTTGTTTCTGGGTTTTTTTGTTTTGTTTTGTTCTGGTTTTTTGTATTTTAGGGAAGGGCCTACAGGGTGTTCAGGGTTTCACAGCTAGATCCTAGTGATCCGCCTGTTTACAGCCTCCCAAGAACTGGGATTACAGGATCGTGCCACTACACCCAGTCTCAATTGCCATCTCAGTGCGCCTCCGGAGCAGGGCCAGTGTGGTAGGTCTGGGGATCAAGGCCCGGCCCTGTGCCTGCTTGCAGGTACTTCAAACAACTGAGCTATTTGGCCGGCCCATCTTGTCGTGTGAACAAGTCCCCATGCATACAGGGACAGTGTTGCTCTGCATTTTCACGGAACTCTTTGGAAGATAACTTTAGCTTTAGGGTTCCCTCTGTGTGTGTGTGTGTGTGTGTGTGTGTGTGTGTGTGTGTGGCGTGTGTGCATGCGTGCGTGTTTGTCTCTGCCACCAAAAGATATCTATTGCCACTCCAAAATGAATTTAATATATTGTCAAGGTGCTCAAAGATCTTTGTATGCTTACATGATTATTCACACATAATCTATATTTTCAGATTTACTGAATTGATAGTTATTTATCTGAGTTAACCACACCTATTTTTCTGTGCGTGTTGATTGAACATGGGCTCAACAAATGGTTCTTGAATTGTACCATCTAACCTGGCTCAGAAAGGCATCTCCAGCCCGCTATAATCTTAGCTGTCATTCTGACTGTTGTTATTGGATATTGCTCCCTGAATTTCCAGGATATGTCACTTGGATTTAAAATCAGCACAGACTAAGGGGTGGGGACACTAAGCCATTGCCTTTTGTTGTTTCATCAAATGTTGATGAAATCAGATCTTAACTTCTCTTTCAAATATTCTGTGTTCACAGGAATACCATGGCTAAGAAAAACAGTTGCTACCCTGGGAAGACTAGGGATAACCATGGCCTTTGAAATTGTTTATTTGGTCAACTCAGAATTGTACCCAACAACATTAAGGTAATTACCACATATAGGCAATGGCTTCTCCTAAGTTCTCTGCAGCCAAATGTTTCCTTTGCTTTCCTAATATTTAATATATTAGCCTGAATTCAGCCAGTAAAGAAGATAAGCTTGAAGATATATCTGTGTCCTGCACTGCTATCTGCTGTGTTTTGCATTACACTACAAGTATTACAATACTTTCCCCTCTCAGTATCTTTATATATAGCTAATCTTTATATATAGCTATGATCTTGGAGAAAAGCACTGAACTTGGAATCAGGAGCCCTCATAGTACACTTCCTCAGATTGCAGATTAAATTGTTGTATTTCAAAGCTCTGGCTCCTCTTTTAACCAAAGTGGATGTGTAACAATCAGTATGCAACTTTTCAGGGCAGCCACACGGCCCTTGAGTGTTATGGAGCAGAGTGGTAAAGTGGGTGGATGGACGTCGCTCCACCAACACAGGAGACTGGCTCACTGTCCTCACTGTTGAGTAGGGTCAAGTGGAAATGGTTTGCTTCCAGTACCAGAGAAATGTGATGCTCAAAGTCAGTATTTAATGTCTGGATATCTAAATCATCTTGAATATCTAAGTAGTGTTCATTTAACTTTCTCTTTCTGCAGAAACTTCGGAGTTTCACTCTGCTCGGGTGTGTGTGACTTGGGAGGGATCATAGCCCCGTTCCTGCTCTTTCGACTCGCAGCTGTGTGGCTGGAGCTACCACTGATCATCTTCGGTAGGAGCTGACTTCATGTGCTCTTCACCAGGGCTTTTCTTCCACATTCTTTGCACTAATACAACCCGTACGATCCTGAGATTTGATTTTAATGATACCTATTTCATCTTTTTCTAACAACTTTTAAGTTCTCTTATATTAATTTTATTGAGAAAGAAGTAGCAATGAGACAGTTTTAAAACAGGTTAGTAGGACAGTTATGATAAGTAATACATTGCATAGTTATTCATAGTGCAAGATGCAGACATGATCTTTCTCTAAACACTATTAGTTCAAAACTTTCTTCTCATGAACTAAGAGAAAGTAGCTGTATGTCTATGCTAACTATTTTGTATATACAGATATGTATTTTTCACTACAAAATGGTCCTTCCTTTATATCCCCTTTTTTGTTTACTTTTGTCAGAGATGAGTATTCCATGGCCATTCATATATTGTAGGTACATAAATTCAGCAAAGTAATCTAATATAGTCCAGTAGTAGATAATAGTAGTGGGTTATCCGCATGACCGGCAATGTCAGAAGTTACAACTTTTAAGTTTTAAGAAGTCAATCTGCTCATAACAAAATTTGAAATTCTGGTTTTAATTAACTTTATGTTAGAGGTTGATACTAACTGCTCGAGTTAGCCTTCTTTCTTTAAGTTCTAAGTTAAAGCCAAACACTACAGTGCCCTTTTATAGTATTGGGAGACAGCATAATTTCCAAAGGACCAATTTAGACCTTCAGTATGTTCAAAATTCAGCATAAAGACTGATTATATTTTTAAATGTTCAAAATTTACTAATCCAAGTTCTTATTTTGCTTTCATGATAAACATGCTTATACTGAAAGAACAGAGAACCCCAAATCCCCCCACTTATACACATATCCTGTAGCCCCTTCCACATTCCTCAAATTTACACCTTTATTTCCACCTCTAGTCTCTTGCCCTGCCTTTTCTCCATTTCCACTTTCTTACTTTCCATAGAGACTATTTCTATTTATTGGTTAGCAGTTGAAATTTAAATAACAATATTGAGTCCAAGAGGCCATACATCTTGATTCTTGAAAAACTCTGGTAGCACCAGTCACAGAAAATCAGCTTCTAACCACTTAACACCAATGATCTTAGTACAAGACCATTTCAGATTATTTAATGGGATTGATGATGAAATTAAGTGTCAGTCCTGTAACCAGGATGAAAAGCAAAGAGGCTCCCTTGTCCAACCAGGACAGGGCAGTCAAAGAGAACTATTATCCTAGTCCTGTCTAAGCCTGCAGTGAGTTATGGAGAATGCCATACAAGCTGGCCAGGGCTGGGGCAGGCCCTGCCTTCCTGGAGCTGGGAGGAGAGGCTCCTGAAAACCCAGGGACAGTAGAATGAAAAATCCTGAACATGCCATGCCTTGTCAAGGGGAGAGTGTTTGGGAGGGAAGGAAGAAGCCAGGGCTAGTGTGTGATGTGAAGTGAGAAGAAACTCTCCACGCAAGTGGTGTGGGCTGTGCTCCTAGCATGGGAAGGCCCAGAGCAAAGGTCAGAGTCCAGTATGTGAAGTGGGGCCTGTTGGGAATTATTACCAGGGGAGACAGGTGCAGATCACCGAGGGTCTTCTCAGGTATATAGAAACTTTGTTCTTTATCTGATGGCCGGGGAAGCCACTGCAGAGCCTGACTCCACTGGGACTAACACAGCTATTCATTTCTTAGAAATAGGATGTGGATGGCAGATAGGCAGTTGAATTAGAGGGGGCTGAACTAACTGTGAGATGATTAAAAGAGTGTTAGGATTGAGTGGCTTGGTCTAAGAAGGCAATGGCAGCAAAATAGAAAGGAGGCATCTGAGGAATTTGATTAGCAGGTGGGTACTTGACAGGTCCAGCAGTCAAGGAGCCATGAGATGACAGCCTGAAAACCTGCAGGTGAAAAACAAGCACTGGTGGGTTGTGGTGGGATGAGGTAGCAGTTAGAATCCAAGTCAGAATAGTGAGGGCCCAGGAGACTGGATGTCCCTGAGCCCAGGAGAGAAATAACGGCCTGGAGATGGGAATTCAGAAACACCTGAACATGAACCACCAGTGAAACTGGGGCAGTGATGAAATATAGAACATGGGCCCTGAACAAGGTCGTGAGAGGAGACTAGGCAACCATGAGGGCAGGACAGGGAAGTCGAGGGAAGGTAGGACTAGAGTGGCCAATAAGGCCCAGTAGCTGTGGCACTGGATCTGGAAGCAAAGGCAGTTGGGGAAATGGCTAGTGGAGGACCAGGGAAGATGCAGGGCGGGAATAGTGGAGGTGGAGCTGGATGTATGTCATAGGTTGACACAGTAGGGCTGGCTCCTATGAGTGCATCAAGGCTGACTGAGACCTTTAACAATTTTGAGAGCCAATCAGCCATTAAATACAACCATGATTAAAAAATAGAGTGTATAAAGTATATTAAAAGCAGAGGGCATAAATACTCAACATTCACCAGTTCCTGATTCATGTACCACATTTTTACTATTACAAGTGATCTTCATGTCATTTATTGAGCTGTATCTTTCTGGTGGGAATATAGTGGAATAGAGCACTACTGTTTGTCTCTTCCCTGGGGCTGTGTACCCTCAAGTCATGCTGGTAGCTTGAAGTGTTCATGATGGAAGCATTTATACCATAGAAGTAGGCAAAGCTGTAAATCTAAGCTGGGACTTTATACATTTACCAGCTGTTAGACATTTACCAGCACACCACTAGGATAGGTGTGGGAAATAGCTAGACTCCAAAGAACAGAAAAGTGAATGGTAAGTGGAGGGTGAGGCTAACAGACAGCTTATTGGAGCTGTTTGAGTGTGTTGGAATGCTCCTACTGCCCCACTGAAGGTGCTGGAGTGAGTAGATTAATCAATATAATAAGGACCTCAAATGACAGGTCTAAGTGACATCTCGCTCTTGGCAGCAGCAGGGACAAATCTTTGAGTGGAAGGAATGGGAAGAAGGTGAACCAGTTTAAGTTTTAGTGTCAGGAAGAGAAAGAAGAGGGGACCTTCTCTGTTACTGCTTTCCCTGGGAAGCAGAAGGTGAGGTCTTGAGTGCTTAGCTTGGTTGATACTCAGAAAACATGGTCATGCACAATGTAAGGACCTTTTGGTCAGTGACCTTCAGTATCAGCTTATGGTGATCCCATAAGACTGTTTTGCTTTGTGATGCCAGAGCTATTTTAATTTGTATAAATATACAGTACTTTTTTTTTTTTATTTTAGGAAAGGGTCTATAGGGTGTTCAGGGTCTCACTACTAGATCGGACTTGTAGTGATCCACCTGTTTACAGCCTTCCAAGAGCTGGGATTACGTGCCACCATGCCCAGTCTCAATTGCTGTCTCAGCGTGCCCCGGGGGTGGGGCTGGCACAACAGACCCGGGGATTGAATCCCCAGTCCTTGCGCCTCCTTATAGGCACTTTAATCTGCTGAGCTCTTTGGCCGGCCCTTTATACAGTACTCTAAAAGGTTCATACATAGGAAGACAACAATATACAATGTATTAATTATTGTAACTGTCCTACTAACCTGTTTTGAAACTGTCTCACTGCTATTGGTTTCTCAATAAAATTAATAACAAATAAATAAAAGGTTCATACAACAAAGAAATCACTTAAAGACACATTTCTTAGAACATCTTCCTGTCATTAAATGACACCCACCATAGTTGCTAGATGTATGAGCAGATATACGCCAAGAGTCCAGGGCCCATGGTGTGGTACAGGATTTGAGGAAAGTGGGGAACATTCAAGATCTTGAAAGAGCTGAGTAAGGTAAGCAGAGCATTGCTGTGGTTGAGAAGCCGACATCAGGTCAAGTCCTGAGAGGGCGAGGAGCTACAAGTCCAGCCCGAGCTTCTGCAGTGGTAATGCCTTTCTCGTTTTGCAGGTATCCTGGCATCCATGTGTGGAGGCCTTGTGATGCTTTTGCCTGAAACCAAGGGTATTGCCTTGCCAGAGACAGTGGATGATGTGGAGAAACTTGGCAGGTACTGTATAAAGTTCAGCACATCCCAAATTAAAGCAGCATTGTAGATGTTTGGGGGGAAGATTCTGCTGAGAAAATTGGACATCCACAGGAAATGATAACACAAAGCCCCTTTCATATAATAAACAAAAAAAGAGAGTTTTTAAAACCTTATGCTATAAAAGAATATATACTATTTTTTAAATGTAGTTGGAAAGCATTTGCAAGAAGGATGTTAAAAATCAGAAGTTATCTAAAAGGGGAGGCTGATATGTCCCAGTGAAGTAACTTAAATGTGCATTGAAGATGGTAACCATACTGTGGTCCACTATGCAAAGATGAAGAGGAGCGAAGGCTGTCTCCATGGAGGGCAGAGTAAGCTTCTTGGTAATGATTCCCAAGTGAGACAAGAATTGTGTGCTATAGTTATTAAAAAATAAACCAGTAACAATCCCTGTGATGAGAAGACAGATGGCAGAAAGGTAGATGAGAGAGACAGACAGACAGACAGGAGGGAGGGAAGGAGGGAGGGTGGAAGGGAGAAGGGGAAGGAGATTGAGTTGTAGGGGGATCTGGGATCTAAATTTGAAGGATTTTTTTTTTGGTGGGGGGCTGGCTCAGGCTGCATTAAGGGCAGGTCCAATAAGGCATGGGGAGCTGGGGATCAAACCACTATGGATCGATCCCCAGCACCTGACGGGGTTTACTCCAGCAGGCACTTAAACAACTGAGCTAACCCACAAGCCCCTGATCTAGGATCTAAATACAGTTGGTTATCAAATGACTCCAGGCTTGAATTTTCCACTGTGTAAATAGCAAAGTTTGAAAAATCAGCTCACAGTAACAACTTTGTTTGATACTTGAACCAAAAGTCCAACTTGAAAATGGTGGTACAGGGGAAGAGGAGTCATGTTCTGCATCCTGTGATGGATATAAGGGGTGATGATTCAGTCCAAGTGCCACGCTTGTCCAGATGACATCTAGTGCTTGTGTTGGTGCATTCAAACATTTTGCATTGTGCCTTTTTGATGCTTTATTTGTATAAAATATTGTCACCTTGGCTCCACAGGAAATTAGTGATCCCAGCGATAAAGCTAATAAGAGAACAGCCATTGCAAGCCTTGTTAGAGCCCTGGGAATTTTGGGGGCTCAGAACCAGTTATTGGTTTTCTGTTATTTCTTATGGGAAAAAAGATGTTCAGTTCTTGAACTTTTTGTGTTCAAATATGAACTTGGAAGGAATTGAGTTTGATAATCAAGATATCACTGTAGTATTCAGTTTATATATTGAAAAATATACTAACAAGTTATAGCAATAAAAATATATTGTACAAAATTTCATTTTCTGTTTGAAATTTGTCATAGTAAAATGAAAGAATGACTATAGAAATCAATAGTTTAAAATGTCAAACAAACATTTGTTATTGGTTGACTTCTTGATGTTAGCCATTCTTTCTGGGGTCAGATGGAATCTCAAGAGGTCAACCAATAACAAATCTCGGGAGGGCTGTGGGGAAAAGGAACGCTTCTGCACTCTTGGTGGGAGTGCAGACTGGTATAACCACTGAGAAAATCAGTGTGGAAATTCCTCAGAAATCTGGGATTAGAGATCCCACTCAACCCAGCTAGTCCCCTCCTGGGTATTTTTCCAAATGAACTGGCAACATCATACCACAGTGTTTATAGCA